CCCAGGGCGTCATCCACCGCGACATCAAGAGCGACTCCATCCTCCTCACGCATGACGGGCGGGTACGGCCCCCCTACCCCCAACAAAACCCCCCCCGGGCCCCGCTGGCCCTCCCTGCCCCCAGCCCTGACCGCCCCCGGCTCCGTTCACAGGTGAAACTCTCGGATTTTGGGTTCTGCGCCCAAGTGAACAAGGAGGTGCCGCGGCGCAAGTCGCTGGTGGGGACCCCGTACTGGATGGCCCCCGAGCTCATCTCCCGCCTGCCCTACGGCCCAGAGGTGGGGCTGGGGGGTTATGGGGTGGATTTGGGGGACACGGGGTGGGTTTAGGGGTGTTTGGGATGTCTGGCGTGGAACCCTGAGCCCATTTCCCACCTGCCCTACAGCCACAAGGTGGGTCTTGTGGGGGAGTAGGCAAAGGGTTTGGGGTGGGTTTAGGGGTGCACAGGGTGGGTTTGAGGAGCTCCAGGCAGCCTCCCCCTCAAGCCCCCCCCTTTTCTTTTTGGCGGCCCCCGCCCAGGTGGACATCTGGTCTCTGGGGGTGATGGTGATCGAGATGGTGGACGGGGAGCCCCCCTATTTCAACGAGCCCCCCCTCAAGGCCATGAAGCTGATCCGCGACAACCTCCCCCCCCGGCTCAAGAACGGCCACAAGGTAACTCGGAGAGGGGGGGTCCCCACTCCCAGGGGGGCCCTGGGGGTGTCTGACCCCACCTCTGCCCCCCCCAGGTGTCACCCTCCCTCAAGGGGTTCCTGGAGCGGATGCTGGTGCGGGACCCGGCGCAGCGGGCGAGCGCCCCGGAGCTGCTCCGACACCCCTTCCTGGGGGTCGCGGGCCCCCCCGCCTGCATCGTCCCCCTCATGCGGCAGCACCGGCTCCGGTGAGACCCCCCCACGGAGGGGGGAGACCCCCCCGACCTCCTCCTCCTTCTCACTGGCACCCCCGAACTGGAGCGGCACTGGGACGTTACTGGTGGGGCGCTGGCGAGGGGCGCCGGCCCCCCAAATTGTACTACTGAGCTGGGGGGGCACTCAGTGCCGCGGGCCCCCCCAGCAGAGATCTGGGGCGTGGGGGACGGCATCACCCTGGAGATTTGGGGGTGCAGGGGCTAATGCCGGTGCCCTCCCCCAGGCAGAGATTTTGGGGGGTGGGGGGGCTTATCCTGGTGCTCCCTTTCTTCCTCCTTCCTGTCAGAGATTTGGGGAGTGAGGGACTCACCCCACTACCCCCCCCCTTTTGGACCCATTTTGGGGCATTTCCCTCCTTTTTTGTTTCTTTTAATCTCCTTTTTCTACTCCTATTGGGCACTGGGCTCTGGCCCCTCCACATCTCCATGGGGGGTCCCCAGAACTACAGCCCCTCCACCACACTACTGATTTGGGGTCCCCTCCGGCCCTCCCCACTCCCCATTTTTGTTGATTTTGGGTTTTTTTGTTGGTTTTCCCCCCCATATTGTTTTTTAACAAAGTGATATTTATATCGTTGGGTTTTGTACCGTGCGGGACGGGGGGGCCCGGGGGGGGACACGGGGCCCCCCCAAATTACACGTGTCCTTTTGGAGCCCCCCGTGTGACGTGTGGTTCTTTGGGGGGGGACACACCTGTGGGCACTACCTGCATCCCCTCTGGGGGAAAGGGGGAGTCACGGCCTGTGGGGTGTGGGGACCCCCTTTCTCCCCACTGAAAGACCCCTGGGGGGGGCTGGTGACCCCCCCCTATGAAACACCCCCCAGGCAGGAGCTGCTGCTGCCTCAGGGCTTTATTTCCTACAGGAGGCGGGGCAGCCACAGGTCATGGCCGTGTTGACACGTGTCGGCCCATGGGACACGTGTGGGCTCACGAGGAGCGTGACGCGGCCCACGTTGACTTGTGTTGACTCACGTTGGCCGAGGTTGACTCGTCTTGGCCTGCGTTGCCGTGTGTTGGCCCACGTTGGTGTGACTTGGCGCACGTTGACTCACGTTGACTTGCATTGGCCCACGTTGACTCGCTGTCCCCCCTGGCTCTGCCCCCCTGCCCGCGCGGCCGTGCCCTCACTTGCAGGTGCAGTAGTACCCGCGGATGGCGTCGTTCCAGTCTCCGAAGAGCCCCCGGTGCACCTCCTGCAGCCGCGGCACCGCGCCGGCGCTGAAGCGCCGCGTGTTGCCCTCCTTGCCCCTGCGCGACCACACGTTGAGCTCGCAGCGGGTGCCCACCACGAGCGAGGAGATGGTGCCGGACCACTTGTAGGGCATGTAGGGCACGTCGCTGCCCGGCTCCACCTCCAGCACGTCGCCGGCGCAGCACTGGTCGTAGTAGGGGCTGTCGTCGGTGTAGAGCAGGGCGCACAGGCGGGTCCCGTTGGCGGTGCGCACCTCGGAGGGGCTGGGGCACTGGGCCTCCACCCCCCCACCCAGCACGGCCACCAAGGCCACCAGTGTCACCAGCAGTGCCGACGCCATCGCCAAGGTCCCCCGAGCCCCGAGGGCCCCCTGGATATACCTGAGCCCCCAAGGCCACGGGGGTGGGCGAGGACACACCTGGGAGGGCACACAGGTGTGCAGGTTCCCCCCCCCCCGGGAAGGGACACAGGTGTGTGGGTGTCCCCGAGGCCATGGCACACCCACCGTGGGAAGGGTTACAGGTGACCTGTGCCCTCCCTCCACC